TTTAAGCTGCTGGCACCCCTGCCTTGCTCCTCAGAATTATGATGATGCAATTTTATTTTTAGGGTCAAGGAATCACTTTGTAGATGCCGGTTTTCATATGCAGATGCCATCAATAAAGATTTCACAGCATCATTACATTATCTGAGCAGATAGACACAGAAATGACTGCTGCCTCACTGATGGAAAGTGTAATGGTCTTGCTGATAAGATAATACATGTATGTTGTGGCATACTGAGTGCTGACCTTATGCAGGAAATTTCTGAAATATTACCCATATTGACATTTTCTTATTGTAGTTANATGGACTTAAATCAGTGCAACAGGATGCTAAAATATAACATTAGTAATATTACCCATATTGACATTTTCTTATTGTAGTTCAATAATACCCTGCCAAATAAAAGTCACATATAGTTGATACCACCAATCTGCAAGCTTGATCCTCACTGGGGTTCTAAATTATCAGAAAACATCATAAAAGTCCAAGAAATGGCACATACCTACCATAAATGATCACTCTGACCATCAACTAACAGGCTGAGTACTAGAAAATCCATTTTCAACTCCATCCCCCTCTCCCGTACAGCCACTTAGCCAAGAGCAAACTCACAAATTCAGGTTGGTAACTGTAATTCAATGCATGCCAGCAGACTGTTCCAGAAATCCCTACTGACTATATCAATAATAACAGTATGGATACAGACTTGATCATGCAAGTGGGCTCAAGTGGTAATGTTTCTGACTTGAATTTGTGAAGTCTGAATCTCAGTTACGATACCAACTATCCATGGTTTTCTTCAGTATCTTCAGGTAAATGCCATGATAGTGTCTTAAATTGGGCCACAAACCCAGCCTTCCATCTCCCTTTAGTCATTACCAACAATCATCCAATAATAATAATAATATTACACTACAGAGACTGTTTTTAAGAGGCTAGGTTGAACATATTTTACATGTTCAAGGGACTGAGAAAATAAAAACACTTTCTATGAAAGAAGTCTGCAAATGACTTTGATCATCTGCTGTAACAATTAATAAATATATATAAAACGATTGGTTCTCACTCATGTAATATTTCAGAAAACAGTGAAAAGGTTTAAACAAGATGGAACAGCTGTTCAGATTGTGATAAACAATATCTAATTTTGATACAAAGAATGAATTACCAATGAAGTGTTTTCATAAAATCTCTGTTTCTGAGAGCAGCAACAATTCTGTGTAACAGAACTGTTAGAAAATTGGTATTTGAATTAATGGATGGACAGGGACACCAGTTACAAATTACCCACAACCTGGTAAAATTTAAAAGATGGCAAGGGAACTACAATATTAAAACTTGCAGCATGACATGTCAACAGATCCTGGATGATGACTGACAGGAAATGTAAATTTAACAATTGTGCATAAAATGTAAAACATGATTCTATATTATGACCACAACATGTCAATGGATCACACAACTGTTTATTGCTGCAGAATACTTTTGGTAATAAAATATTTTTGCAGACCCCTCAAAACATAAACTTATGTTTCATAAGTACTTTTTTAAATTTACAACCCTACATTCAGAAAGTTAAATTAAAGAGTACCCTCACTTATCTGACTCTCAGGTTCACTAAAAAATTGTTCATAGCCAGAAAAATCTGTGACATATTCTTAATGTACATCCTCCAAAACTCTATTTTTGTATAAGGACAACTCGGTTTCTTTTCATGTGCAAAGTCACTTGTGATAGCTGTTACCTTGGATATCTTATTTATCTTTGTACAAATGTCTGCTCAGTCTGCTAATCTCTGGAACCACCCTGTGTCATAAAGATATACAGAAAGCTGGAATGGACTGTTAACACTAAATACCAGAACTTCTAAGCGCAGTACAACTACATGAACCAAAACTCTCATGATAACCAATGAGCTCAATGCTCAGCAGTAGCATACTTAAACTGCCATCAATTTTGTCATGACATGCCCTTAACATCGTTGAATTAAACAGCCTTGACTTTATCAAATTTACAATCTTTACAACCTCATCAAACATAGTTTTCAATACAGTTGGAATCATTTTCATAGCAAGAGACTGATAAAGAATGACAGAGTATCAATTAGTGCATTCTGATAAAATGACTTTAACGTGTAGAGTAAAAGTATTCATTTTTCCAACTACTGATCATATGCCATCTGTGACAATACCAACACACTGTTTCCAATGAAGGCCTTTTTTCAGCAACGTATAGGCTACTTTAAATTAAAATATCTTCTCCTGTAGTATGAAGAGATCACGTTTTGTACATAAACATTTGCTCTTCAACTTTATTACTATACACATGTCACAAATTCAAGAAAAACAGGATTCATCAACCTGCACAGCAAAACCCTGACTGACCCAACTACTTATTTTATTCACGTTCAGTATGACAACTTATGTCCTCTATTCTTCTGGGAACTGTAATATTTGAAATGGAACTTTTTTGATAGCCTTCAAGTGATTATCATTAAGCACACATTAAATTATATCTTATACAAAAGTATGGTCAGATTTCTTGGCAATTGTATGAACTTCTCTGCAATAAGCAATATGACAGCTCACTTTATATGATGCATCACACATATTTCCATCCACACCTTATTGATTACTGTTGGATTATTTTGAGAATAGTTCAGTTCATCACATTTACATTTAAGAAATGCTATAGATTTTCTTTCCAATCAACATGTTTGTGTGTACAAGCCATTGTAATTTTTCTGGGAAACATAGAACTGTTTCTTAAAGTTTCCTGGCATGGTACACACTGTGCAAGAGTTGCAATGGACACATCAACACATGTAAATCCTGAATGGAGACAGTTACCATTTATGTTTCTGTCATAATTTGTCTTTGGTATCTGAAGTACTTGTAGCTCCATTTCCCTATTATTGTGGAAATGGTCTTGCTCTGTTTTCCTTTTTCTTCAAACTTCCCACTGTGAGCCAGTGAACCATCATAAGGGTTCAAGAATGAAAAAAACATGACACATGATTTTCTGACACTAAGATCTATAAATAATCAACACAACTCTATGAAGCCCAGGTATGAACTGCCAAAATATATTGGAAGCAGTGTCACTGAGCAACAATTTTAATGTTGTCACCTGACAGACAGACAATACAAATTAAGGGAATTTCTCGGGCAACTGTTCATGCAAATTCAATCACTGTTCCTCCTATATTGTTGGACTACGAATATACACAATGTCTACCCAGAGACTGATAATTCTCTTTCCATATGACATAATAGTGTGACTTACAAGAGTAATGAAGCAATGTGTAATGTTCACTATACTGTTCTGACAGCAAAAAGGAAGTCAGTCCTCCATTAGACAGCATTCTGTTTTGGATCCCTTCAGACTATCTGGCAGAAACCCAGGGTACTACAAAACACAGTCTGAGAAATGCTGAAATGGGTCATACTTTTGTTATGTGGGTTACTTAAAAATTTCTACTGACTGCAAGAAACATTTATCTAGTGTCAAAAAAAGATTAAGGATGTTATGTAAGCCAAACTGTATAGACAGGGAACAAGACCTCAGCAAATAAGACATGGATTCATATTTATAACCCCAAATCTAGAAGACAGTCAAAGCAAAGGAACCACAGTATCAAGCCTTGGATTAGCAGAAAAGTTCTAGTTTGGGATCAAGATAAAATTGGTCTCTTACTTCTGAAGGAAGTAATAGCAGTTTGACAGCTGATTTAGTCATAAATTTCTTTCACAAATATCATGGTTTGTATGGAAACATTACATATGCACTACATAACACACGAGATGGGAAGAATGTGTAGCAGGACATAAGAATTTTGGGCGTAAAGAACTGGAGGAATGTAGCATCGAATAGAGAAGAATGGCAAGGAATCCTGAGGAATGCCAGGGCTCACAAAGGGATGTCGTGCCAGTGATGATGATGATGACATAACACATGAAAGACCTTGAAAACAAAAATTTGTTTTATAGCTCTGGAGCAGGAAAAGTGCTAAAGGTGTTTAATGCATTATCACTGTTGACAGATTTACTTATAAATAAATTTAAATTAAGGAAAACTAGCATACAGGAACAGCCTTAAATTCTCAGTTTTACAAAGAACTGCAGTTGATATAACCTAGAAGTCTAATAAGGAAAAAAAACAGTTATTTGAATAATACTACTGAGTGTGGTAGGAATCAGATCTTCAAGCAAATGTTATTCATTTGTCAATCTGACACATCTGCAAGTAACATATTAATGTAGAGGTGGAAAAGTCATGACACTTACAGCACTTACCAACATCAGGAACAAAGGTAAATATAGGCTGTGAAGTTCTCTAAATTAGTTGGTTACTCCATATATTACTTAATGATGCTGTATCAATGAAAAGCTTAATTAGTCAACCTAGATGAGATGGTGAAATATATCGTCTGTTAGAAGGGTTGGATAGCAATCAATCATGGCCTATTTGAAAGAAAGATCTAAGAATTGAATTTCAGGTTCTGAGGTGAATCATAAAAATCTTCAAACACAATAGCCAATTCTGTGGCTGGTACCAAAAGCTGACACATGCTGAACACAGCTGCTGCTCTAGCTAGCCTGTTCAGTGGATGGGTTTGTATACCACAAAGTTGAAAAGAGACCATGGAAAGTCAGCAGCTGATGAGTGTTCATTTTTAAAGAAAAAATAGGTGAAGGTAAATTTTATTTACACATATAAAAAGTAAAGATACATTCTGGCACAAAAGTAATACACATCACTTTATATGATTTTGTTCCAAAATCACTAGAACCTACAACGGTTCACCCATTCCCTTCGCATTGTACTTTACAGTCAGGATAACTTCCTGTGACCACATATATACATGTGTACATATTTTAATAACAGCTGTTCTTCATTTGATGACATCACCAACATACTGTTTCAAACTCTGCAGGATTTCACAGCATTGGTAGTTCCTAAATTACGATTTCAACACAGAGCAGAAATTTAATTACTTACATCAAGACTTGCTCCTGGGCCCAGCGTCTTGCTCTGTTCTTCAGAACACAATCTGAAATTCTTGAGAACGTGAACTGCACTGGACAGCGTCGTGAGGTAATATCCTCCCTCACCAGACAGAAGTGAGGGGTGCAGCAGCCCCCACATGTAATCAGCTTCTATCTCTGCAGCCAACATTCCACTTTGTACCAACACCCACACAAACAAGGGTAGGAAGTCATCTGCTCCCAGCGCTACACACCTTTGGTTTGCAGATTTCACCTGTTCAAAAAATCAATATAGATGTTAGTGTTGCAACAAAAGATGGAAAATGAGGATACATCCAATGTCTTGCATATAAATTGTTGAATTCATGGCCATTACCAGCACTGTATACTTCAACTGATGTATTTGTGTCAAAGTCCATCATGCTGGTAATATCATGAAAGGACATCACCAAGGTGCAGGTGAACTTCTGCAGATAACAGAAAGAGCTTTGCCACGTCAAGTCAGGTATGTACAGTATGTGGAGTGTCTTTTTTATTATAAACCTTAAATTCTACCTTCAAGATTATGTGTCTTCCATGCAGCCCTTTTTACACTCATGGCAGATGTGAGTTAACAATTACTTTGAATTACAATTCAGAGAAAAACATTGTGGTCAATTATTTTCTATAATTACATAGTTTAAACAGCAGAAGTTACTTAAAATCAATGATGTGGAAACATGATCATGAATGATTAGAAGATAAGGAAATGGAAGGAAACAGTCAATGCTTGTCTGAAATCAATATCTCAGCAAATTGCATGGAGAAACTGACAAAAGGAACCTTTGGTTAGCCAGTAGTCTGGCCAAGATTCAATGTAAATACTTCCCAAATACAATTCCAGAACATTACTACCACAGGAATGTGTTCAATAATGCAGGCAGCAGTGAGATTTGAAGAAGAGAGAATCAGGAATTTCTATGACACTTGGAGAAGCCAGTTGGAAGACCTGGGATGTTACATAAAACTAATTAATACTCATTTCAGTTCAAAATTTAACAACTTCACTGTCAGGTATATTATTCTAACTTGATTGAAAATCTCTCCAAGTTAACTGCAGGAAATATCAGGTTCATTATGACAGGTGTCAACCACTATTTCTGTTCTCTGCCAGCCTAACATTTGCATTATCTGACCCTAAACCAAAGCAAGAGGGTGAGAAATTAAAAAGGGATGGAGATATCAAACTCTCCCATAACAATATAAATTCTTTCAACATCATCAGGAACTCATAGTAAAGTGAGAAACAAAACCTCAGAAGCTGTGATCTAATCATAATGGATCAACTGAATAAGCAAGCTGAGGGAAACTACCATACAAATTACAACTGTCTCTTATTCACTCTCTCATCTCATATTCTGGGCTTTCACTTATCATTTTTGAAGGAATCTCTCATACTACATTCTTAAGATACGGATCTCACAGACAATGTTAATACGGGGTCCAAATATGGATTCACAGAGTACCCATACCGAGTTGAAAATTGTTCCAATGCAAGCGAGTAGACTCTCCAGCTTGTCAAGTGGGGAGTCTACCTCCTGCAATTTGGTCAGTAGATGGCAGATGGTTTCAAGAGCTTCCTCTGAGGGGGGAGCTATCCTGGCACGGACACCTAGCTCATGCATTGGTTTGGTACGTGCATACTGGATGTTGTCTGCCAGCAGTTGGATTGCACCGGTGCGTGTGTACTCCTCCACAAACAGCTGATATAGATGCTCTTTCAGGGGCCTCACAACCAGCTTGTGCATCACACTTTCTAAGATGGCATCCAGATTCAGAAATTCTGTAGACTTCAGCTGTTTAGAGAAAGTAAATTTCATTTAGTTAAGGAAGTAACGAAAGGCATGTGAAACCCTAGAACTGTAATAAACAAACACACTGATAAAACAAAAGCCTCTCAAACAAAAGTATCCAGGAATAACTCGATATTTGGGGGTTATGGCTTTGTAACAAGAAAATACAGAGAAGGCCAAAAAAAAAGTTTTCCACTAGCTGAGGCTCTAGGTTCTCAGAGCAGTGAAAATTAAGATTGTGGTCTACTGGGTCATGACACTGTCGTCATGGAGATGAAACCAGCAGACTCCTCTGAAATATTGGCTACATATTGTATTGCGTTAATTTGGCTGAGCTGAAGTAACTGACTATAATAGTATGCCCAGAAAGTTCAACACTGTAACTGGGCATGATTCTGATGCAGTTTCTTCCACTTCCCTTCTTTCAGAACTGTTTTCCTATAATCAATCTCAAATCAAATACTGTTACTTCACAGTATGGGCTTCAAATGCCAAAGTACTTTTATGTTGTTATAGTAAGTAAATAATGGTGTGATCTGCATTGTCATATTTTCAAGGTATGAAATGGGTATCAGATGAAGTTTCTCTCTTGAAAACTAGTTTCAGTCTCAAGATGTTTCCTGCAGTTTCATTTTCAAAATACTGTGTTATGAGCCTTACAGCTCCAGACAAAAAAATAGTGAAAGATTTATTCTACCATTTTACTTACATAAATGAATTCTCTAATAGCAATGTATAATGTCAGTCTGTCAGGCTTATTACTTCCAATCAACAAATTGTAACAGACATATGTTCCCACTGTTACTCTGCTGAAAGTGGATACCTCATTATTCAGTGTCCTTAAGCTATCTGACTGCCTTCTCCTATTTTTTATATTTCAACATTAGCTGTGTGAGATCCAAAGTACATAACTGAACTATAAGTGAATTTTGGATGATAATTGTCTCTTTTATATGCGTTCTAATTTGGCGCACTTGATTAATGGAATGAGTAATGAATGAACGTCTTAATGGAAATTTTAATGTGTATTATAAGTATTTACCTCATTTAATTGCAATATTACTGTATTATTGTATAGATATTATGTATTCTAACTTGACTTGTTCCATATCCTATGGTGTCTCACCTGTACTGGATTTACGGAATGTAAATAAATTCAATTCAATTCAATTCAATTCAATATTTCAGCTAAAAAGTGTCTACACAGTGCAGCATTTCCTTTGCACTCACTACACATACTGTTTAAACAAGAAAAGACTGCCCTTTGTATAACTATCTATCTCTCAGTGAAAAGACACAGTTACAAGAGAATATCAATCACTGGACAGTGTGTTTCTACTGTAACAAAAACCAGCGAGCTGCATTTTTTATTTCAATGATGAGGTGATTAGGAGAAGCCATTACAGTAATCTCCCCATTATCCAGTGTGAACGGAATATGAGATGTTCTCATTATTCAAATTTGTTGGTTGCATGAGAAAAACTCTTATATGAACCCAATTTTCACACAATTTTCACCCTATTACAGTCTTGCACATATTTATGTTTTCTGTTTTGAAGTCAAAACAGTAAGTTTTTGCTGTAATTCTTCTGTGGTAGTATTCTTAGGTGACACAGTGTATTGATGAGCATAATATTTTTGTCTATACTCTAATGTAATCACAATTTAAAGTAGCTTCTACCATAATCAGAGATTACTATGACTGCAATGGCACCTACATGGGGGAGGAAGATGGGAAGTGCTACTAGTGACTGCTAGGAGAATAACCATATAGCGGATAAATATATGTACACTGCAACTTTGTTTCTGAAGCAGCATTATAAAAATTGTACATTTTCTTTGACATTTTTGCCTCCTGCAAAGAAGAATTCCAGATGCCTGGATACTGGATGATAAGGAGCTTAATGTATTTTGCTTATGCACAAAGCGATTCACAGCAAATCCAAGCACTATGCCATGAAAGTTCTGAACACAAACTGCAGAAATACTGGAAGAAGAAAGCCTTTGTCTTTCCGCTAATTTCTAAACTATCAGTATATGTGCACAGACCTCACATGTGGAAAGACTGACCTTCACTCTTTCTTTCTCAACTTCCTTTTCGAACTCACGCTCTCCATGTTTGACAAGGTAATTCTTCATACCAGACATGAACTGTCTCATATTACGCATCACCACTTGGGGGTTGGTTTCACGTGAGTCCCGTGTACATGCAATGAAGTTATCAATATTTTGTGCAAATGTTGTACTCTTATCTGCAGCAAGGTGCAAGGCATAAGCTCTGATGGATGCCCCTGTTCCTCCCAGGTCACGGTTCCTCAGTGCCTGCAGTCTGGGAGGAGCTGCAAGCAAGATAAAACAAACAAGTAATATAGGACTCATCACTTGCAAGGTGCATATTAAGATACTAAAGGATTAGACTTCTAAGATCCAATACCATTTTAAATATCAATACACTATTCATATGCTGTCACATAACAAACTTCACAGGTCAAGTTACAACTCATGGTTATCATCCTGTTACCAGTGTATTTAACAGTCACTATGAAGTTATTTTCTATTTTTCTTACAAAGAAAAAGAGATGTTGCATACTTTCAGAGTTTTATTACAAGATAAAATTACAGGAGTCTATACAGAATGGCACTAGTGCTGTTCCCATGGCCATCATATTTGTACTGTTGATGATAAAAGGTTATACAATTTCCAAGGATGTCTGTAGCTGAAGTAGACAACAGAAAATCCTGCACATATCCTGAACAAAGAACTGTGTTTCTTTGGAAACCTAGACACTTATTATTGTTTCATTCACTGCATATTTTCATGCACTCTCTTCCAGTCATAATATTCCAGGGTTCAAAAGAGTAATTGTTTCTGCTATGTCCACTGAATGTGAAATTAGCTTTCAAAAGTTTAAAACAGAATAACATTACAAGCTGGAATATTCAACAGAAGTGAACAAGGTGGAAGCAAATATATTCAGGGTTGAGGCAGCACAGGCTCAAACTAAAAACAAGCAGACTCAGGTCTCATGGTGAAGAATTAATCACACCTACTGAAATATCTACTTCATGTCTCACATTGTGCTACCATATATAGGTATGCTGAATATTATATCACAAAATTTTTAACATCTTTGGCTACCAGGATGAAAATCAATATACTCTACAAGCCAGAGTATGTCAAAGCTTGAGAATCCCCCCCCCAAATGTGTATGAATACTGGAAGTATGTTGAAAATTGAATCTACCATCTTTCTAGTGTTGACGTATTGGTCTATGTCACAATCTGAAAATGACACAACCCCATCCCCACAGTAGACACAGGAACAGCAAAACAGATATAAATGTTAGTTACAGATTGCATTATGCATTAAACACCACAGTAGTTTCAGACTGCGCTTCTGTCGCACCTTATTATAAGATACTCGCATACACTTACACATATCCTCATCTTCCTTCAAAATAGTAGCTGTTGGCTGCTATTCAAGTCTGCCAATGCTGGTACAGCTGCTGGAAACACTGGTGAAGGTTCCATACTCCTTCCCTTGTAGTAGTGACGATCTCCTTGGCCAACCGAAATTGACACCCACATACCTTTTCTTTCAAGTGGGGAAAGAAAAAAAATTGCATTGTGCGACATCAGGCGAGTATCGGGGGGCAAAATGGTGACATGTTGTTTTGCCAGCTCCTCTTGTACAAGCACACAGCGATGTACAGGGACACTGTCATGTAGTGACAGCCAGTTCTTCCTGCACTAAAGCTCACGATGCTCACAGCAAATTTAATTGCATAGATGGTGAAGGCTCTCCTTGTAGCAGTGCATCTGTACTGGATCTCCATCTGGGATGAATTCCATGTGAACAATTCCAGATGAGTCAAAAAACAGTTCAAGCATTACCTTGCCTCTTGACCTATCTTGTCATGGTTTATTGTTCCTTGGCAATAATGGTGATTGCCAAGTGGCCGATTGTCTTTTCTATTGCGGATCATACAGAGAACACCATGTTTCGTCTCCTGTTATGATCCAGTTGAGAAACGTCCCATCTTTGTCAGCACTATCAATCAGGTCACTGCAAATGCTCATGCAGTCATGACATTGGTCCTGTCCTGGGTAACAAGAGATGTGTTCAGGTCATTAGAGAGAATTGTGTAGCAAGAACCATAGCTAATCCCTGCTGCTGCTGTGATTTCATCTACCATTTGGCAGCAGTTAGGATGCACCGACGTTGCAATTTCTTGGATCTTGTGTTCAGTTCTGACTGTTCTTGGCTAACCACTATGCTCATCATGTTCCAAACTGTCTCTCCTCTGTGCAAAACGTTTGTGACACTTAAACACAGCACTATGGCCCAAGGCCTCTTCACCACATGCTTGCTCGATCATCTGAAATGTTTCGCTAGCAGATTTGCCTAATTTTTGGTAGAACTTGATGTTTTCCCGTTGGTCAAACTGTGACATTCTTGATTTACACCGCTCACACAGACAACTATCCGTCACAACAGTGACTTTCTTTCTGAATACATAACATGCACACAACTGCTTCTTTCTGGGCGAGAGAAGAATGGACACAGCACATCTTGTGACTCCACGTATCTGCTGTAGTGCATAACAGCGCCACTATGCAACCAATCCACGAAATTGACTGTACTACGTATGTCCATAATTTCTGAGAATAGATTTTATGCACTGAACATCAAAACTTTTGTTAAAGAGTTCTGTCTTCTTGAATGTAACATCTCATAGTCTGCCGAATGTCAACTGACGTTTAGGATGAACATGTTGCCTCTACTTTCAGGGTTGAAAAGTAAGCCAATCTAGGCACCAGCATGAAGCAGGCAACAAGCAAAAATTGAGGTGATATGTTCCTCCAAAACATCAGATGACTTTCAACAGACTACATGGTATTATATACCAGACAACAGAACTCTTCATAACCACTGCTGTGAGAAACTCAAATCCTACAAATTTCATGCTGGTCTTCTATGCTATCCACATATTCACATGTTATTCATATTTCAGCTCCAACTTGTGACATCTGTGACTTGAACACAAGATTTCAGAGGTTCCATCATTCTTTAAATTGGAAAAACGAGCCATTACATGTACTTACTACGAAAATCGCCAATTAATTGGGTATTTCATTTAAAATCCTGCAAATGACTGACAGAAAATCACTCTTCAAAATAAAAAAAAAAAACTTTGGGGCACATGCACTTACGAAGATCATTGATCTATCATTAACTGAGTTGACAGATGCCATAAATCACATAACACATGGACCCCGTAAACTCAGGATTGAGTAGTGTAATTATAGCACACATTCATGGTCTGACAATAAAGGTCCCGAACTCATCGCAGTAAAATTGCTACACACCTCATTGTTGAATATCACTGTGGTCACCGTCAAAGTGCTCCCATTGAGAAGCTATGCACCGATGCCAGCGCCTGGTCCACCCTTCAAAACAATTTTTGAATTGGTTTTGTGGAATGGCCTTTAGAGCTTCCATCATATTATTCCTGATGCCATCAATGTCATCAAAATGCCTTCCTTTCAATATTTCCTTTATCTTCAGGAATAGAAAAGTCATTGGGGGTAGATTCGGTGAATAGGGAGGGTGTTCCAGGGTAGTTATTTGTTTAATAACTAAAAACTCCCTCACATACAGCGTTGTGTGAGCAGGTCCTTTGGAACCATTTTTGCACACACCTTCATCATGTCAAGATCTTCAGTTAAGATTTTCCTAGCTGCTTCTCTATGGATGGTCACTTGATCTGCTATACTCCTGTCAGTCAGCCGACGATTTCAAGCACAATTTGACAAAATTTTTCGAAATTTTCTTCAGTTCTGCTCGTTGCTGGCCGTCCTGAACCCTCTTCATCAGTGACACTTTCCCTTCCCTCGGAAAAACGTGTCATCCAATTGTCAACTCTGTTTTCTTCATAGCATTATTCCTGTAAACTTTCAGTAACATCTCTCTGATTTCACTTCCACTCTTTCAAAGTTTAGCAATAAATTTAATGTTCATTCCGACATTCTCATGATGGCACACTGAAACACACACTGACATTAACAGACGCCACTCAGAAAGAGACTGCCATAGATCAACAACAACACGCTGTGAAATGCTGATATGTCAATGTCATCAAACCATACTGATTTTTTGTCCACTGCTGCAAGCACATGGTGGCGAGTTCGTGAACTTTATTGTCAGACCTCGTATATAATCACAGGACTTACCCTTGCATTTTGCATGGGCCTAGATACTGAATGGCTGAATCACATAATTACATAGAGGTACAAGGTAGAGGTATGAGAGCCACAAGTATGCCTATCACACATGTCCTGCTTCCTGGGTATGGTTCACTAAGCATAAGCAAGTGTTACTATCTAAATACATGTTACCATAAAAGGCTTATGTATGCCTAACACACATACATATCATGCTGTCTGAGCCTTGTTCGCCAAGAATAAGCAAGGACATACATACAAACAAGTAAATTCCACAGTAAATTAAACCAGTTTAATGTGTCATTTGATGTAAAATTAGTAGAATACAGTAAATTACAAAGCACAATGAAGAGAAAGAAAATAATCTGGGTCTATATGAGATGACTACTATTCAAACCTTTGCTTGAAACAAATAAGTTACACTGTAATTTTACTGGCATTGTAAGATCACCATAATTTTTTCAAACAAAGATGGAAAATTTGGTCATGAACAACAAGCCACACACAACCCACTACTAGGGAAATACTGTGATCCAAATTCTGTTACAATATTCATAAAGGATATAAACTGATTATCACTGTAGGTCACGAAAACAAGAGTTTTGAAGATGGATATAGACACCATATCCAATTGCTTCTGCTAAGAGAGTATCCAGATAGTATCATTAGTGGGTTTAGGGGTGCTTAACACCACAGTTATTTGCACCTATATCACAGACAGTATCATTCAGAAATTTATTCGTGCACTAAGCTTCCATCAAATTGAGGTTACTACAACATGGATCTAATTCGTGACTCCATTTTCAAAATTATGTATGCTGGATTCGCTAAGGCTGTTTATGTACAAACACGACTTACTAAAAATATCTGTAACATTTACAATCTGTATGCAGTAGTGTAGTTGGTTGAGACAATATGCTACAAACCAGAAGGTTGCAGGTTCGAGTCCCAATGAGGTGGATTTTTTTCCAATTTACCTAATCCTTCCAGCCGAACTATGGCCCTGGGGTTGACTCAGCCTCTAACAGAAATGAGTACCAGGAATCTTCCTGGGAGGTAAAGGGTGGCCGGCACGTAAGGCTGACAACCTTACCAGCATCTGTGTGCAGATTTT